TAATAGGGATGGATATGAACACATAAACACACCAGATTAATGGCCTCATAGTACATACTTGAAGCCATGTTAAAGACATCGCATCTGGCACCACAGCTGCAATTAGGGGCTACCACTTAGTTGACTGTGTGGCAGTCTCCTGTCATCCTCCAGGGTTTGGAGGGGACAGCCTGATGCGTTACTGGAGACCATCAACCCTGAATTCATTAGATCTTCAATAGTCAATCTAATTTCTGTCATCCCACCTACCCCCATTTTTAAAATTTATTATCTTGCCTTGAGGGGAAGTTTCAGAAGCTCCCACTTGGCCTTCCCCGTTACACTAGTTCTCCAAAGTCAAGCACACAATGATGGTTCAGCCAACTGCCACGTATGTCCATCCCAATTTTAAATTGGAATTTACACATTTGGGAACTAAGAAAATGACCCACCATGAGTCACACTTAGGCCAATGTTACAAGTACTACCTGGCTCCCATATGATCTCACTCCAACAGGAGGTCCATGGTGACATGGGTCCCTAACAAACACAAACTCTGAGTTGGAGATTCACATGCAGAAAGTTTATTGGAACTTGAGGATCAACACTCATGTAGGATAAAGAAAGCCTGGGCAGAAGAGGAGTGGGACTCTGATTCAACCGTAACAAGGACTTTGGCAGATCCCATAGGGATCTCAGGATCTGGGATAGACCTTCAAACTTGTTCTGCTTTTAGGCATACAAAACAGACTTTTATATGCCCATATTACTGAGTTATAAGAAGTATCTGTCTCCAGGGAGGAGGCACAACCTAAGAGTGATGGTTCTGTTCAGCTGAGGACCAGTCCTGGACAGGGACTTAGCTGAGAGCCACTGGCCATACGTAACCAACACTCCCTTCAGCTGGAGGAATAACTGCCTTAGTTTTGATGTAAGACTATAGGCAGTAGACTATAATATCTGCTACATGTGCGCAACTAAAATTCTCAGATGTTTTCCACTAAAGTTCTATTAAACCAAGTCTTGAACTTTTGTATTTTTGTGTGTTTGTTTTGAGACAGAATCTCGCTCTGTTACCCAGACTGAAGTGCAGTAGCATGATCTCGGCTCATTGCAACCTCCTCCACCCAGGTTCAACTGATTCTCCTGTCTCAGCCTCCTGAGTAGCTGGGATTACAGGTGGGTGCCACCACGCCTGGCTAATTTTTGTATTCTTTAGTAGAGACAGGGTTTCACTATGTTAGCCAAGCTGGTCTCGAACTCCTGGCCTCAAGATGATCTCCTCCGCCTCAGCCTCCTAAAGTGCTGAGATTACAGGTGTGAGCCACCACGCCTGGTCTTGAACTTTGGATGTAGATTTTTGGAACCAGTGCTGGATCTTGTATTCATCATCTATTCGACTTGTTGGTTTTATCCTAGCATTCCAGCCTGCTTAGTCACTGAATTTAAATTACAATAGCTACTGTCTTAGACTTCCCTTGAGATTTGAATTATCTTCAAACGGAAGAATATATTAAAGGGAATGTTGTCATGTTATTGAAAAACACTGAGGCCTAAATCCTAAGGGTCAGAGTCAGTGTCATATGCTATTTGTAGTACTTGCATAGAATATCACATACTCTTTCTGCCAAATATATCATTGTATCAGTTAGAATGTGTCTTTGCCCCAAATATCAGAAAACCCTGACTCAGATTTTCTTCAACAATGAGAAGGTTTATTTTACTCACTCATGAAGAAGTCTATATGAAGTATGAGCTTCAGACTGGCAGATTCAATGGTTTAGCAGTGTCATCATGGATCCAAGCTCTTTCTATCTCCCCTGTCTGCTAACTCCAGAGGTTTGTTTTGCTCTCGAGCTGGCTCCCCAACCTCCACCTCCATAAGTAATGATGGAGCCATTCTAAGAGTCATATCTGACACAACAATGTTCGGTAAATCCAGAACCACTCTTCTCCTAATGTCATTTCTTTGCCCAATACTCCCAGAACTCCCCCTTGTATCTTATTAACCAGGATTAAATCACAGCAGCAATCCATCCTAGCAAGGTGAATGGAATACCATGATTGGCTTAGTCTTGAATTAATCATTTGTAGTGGAATAGATGTCAATGCTTGCTTATTGATCTCTAGTTCATAGAATCTACTCCGTTCCCCTTTGTGAAAAGTTTTCAGCCTTCAGGCAGCTCTCCCATTTGCTGCAATTCCCAACAGATTATTGACAGAGGGTCTCAGATACTGCATATTATTTCAATTTCCTGGTATTTAGTTCCCTTAGCTCTAGAAACTTAAATCCACTTAGACAGGTTTCATGTTTTCTTAATTTTCTCACCTATGTGGGACTTCAATTCTTATTGCACCTTCCTTTCAAAATTGAAGGTGGTAGACTAGGGGCGGGAGCTCACACCTGTAATCCCAGCACTTTGGGAGGCTGAGACAGGTGGATCGCTTGAGGTCAGGAGTTCTAGACCAGCCTGGCCAACATGGTGAAACCTCAGCTTTACTAAGAATACAAAAATCAGCCAGGCCCAGTAGTGTGTGCCTATAGTCCCAGTTACTCGGGAGTCTGAGGCAGGAGAATCACTTGAACCCGGGAGGCAGAGGTTGCAGTGAGCCAAGATTGTACCCTGCACTCCAGTCTGGGTGACAGAGCAAGACTTTGTCTTAGAACAAACAAACAAAAAAATTGAAGGTTGTATATCCTTATGTCTCTTTCCTTTGGCTCCTTAATCTGAAAGTTGGCTTTCATTTTCACCATGTGCCGTAAAGAGCCAAGCTGAGTTTCATCTTCTGTTTCCATGGGAAATTCACTCACACGAAGCAATTAACAAGTTTTAGAAGAATTACACAAGATTTGAGCACAGCAGGGAAGAGGGGGTGTGGTAGATCACTGTCTTCCTGGTTTTGTCGCTCCTATACTTGCTTCTCACCATCTTTCTCGCAAATGTGGCCAGGGAGCTCCTAAGTCTTCTCCTATCTTTGAGGCTGAGACTCTGGGGATCTCTGTCCCTTTCCCTAGTGGGATAATATCAGTGTGCTCCTTCGGCACAAATACAGTCTCTCTCTAAGAGAAATATCAGTTACAACTACTTTTTGCACCTAGGAGAAGACAGAAGCAAAATGAACACTAGAAAAAAGTAAGCACTGCTGAACTTCTGTTAACATTACACTACCTTACTTCCTCAAAGAGCAGGTTGCTCCATGTTTGTGCTTCTCCTTACTCTAAGTAATGCCGCCTTTAGCGCTTTTTTGTAAAGCTCAGCTGATTGCTGACTTTAGCCTCCTTTATTCTGTTCTTGAAGGTTCATGATAGTCTTTTGTGTTCAAGCTTATCTATAATCCCCTCCCTTTGCCTTCTGTTCATGTCTTTTTCAAAGCCTGAGCTCTGCAGAGAGCTCCCTGTATAACCACCTCCTTCTTTAGCTGTCTCCCCCTTTATCACTGGAATTATTTCCTATTATATTATAATCAGGATTTGATTGTTTGAATCTCCCACCTCTCCCAAGTCATGTTCTTTTCTAAAGCCTCACATTGCAGAATCACACCTGTGGTAAATACTCTTTTGAAGTGAAGAGTTAATTTGTGATGCAAATAATTACTTCTTTATCTCATTTTCAAAGAGGAATTTTCATAAAGATAAATTAGGAGCAAATTGTTTCACACCTTTTCCTCCTTTGTCACTGACTCTCCTTCCCCGCTCACTTTCCTTCTGTCCTTTTCCCCTCTGCTTGCTTCCTGCCTCCTTCCAGATTTGGTGTAAACCCCCTGGGTTTCTCTCCCAGGCTCTGCTTTTGTTGAACTGAAATATATTCTGTTCATGTATTGGAGTGAACCTTTATCACACCAGGCATACTCACCTACTCCCTGCCTCAAGGAAATCCGGTTAGCGAAGCCAAGTGAAGAAAGCACTTTCATAGGGAATTGACTGTGTCTGTAACCCCTGGCAGCCAGGCCTTTCCATTTCCTAACTGCCCTGCTTCTATCAACTTCAATTAAAGTCTGCCTTTTTCAGTTGACAAACTCTAAGGAGTAAATGTCTCTATGCCTCTGCTTCCTCAGGAGTAAAATGAGGGCAATTCTCTCTGTCGTGTCTACTTCACAGAGCTATTGGGGAACAAATTAATGCGCAAAAAAATATACATTGGAAAGCATGATTCGTATGTAAAAGGATATTCACTGTTTATGCTTAATCATAGGCATGCTGCCTAAAAAAAACAAGGACAGGATTTTTGAACATAAAACTGGGCAGAAATGAATTAACTTTAGGGAGGATTTTGAGCCGGGAACTCTGAGTTTTTTAAATCAAAAATTGTCCTATTCCCGCCCAAACAAGGAAAAAGGAAAGGCCAAGGAAATGGGTTTTTAAGAGATAAAAATATTACTGGCCTCTTAACTGATTTGTTTCGCTTTTGAAAATATTACAAAGACAAAGACGTCTGGGAGACCAAGATGGAGGGAGTGGAGATAAGGGCGGGGCTTGCTCAAGATTTGCAAAGGAAAGTAAAATGAGGACGCAAAGGTTCTGTGAGATGAGTAAAGTTGTTCTATGTGGAGTAGACATAGAAAGGAAGTGCAAAAAATGCTTTATTGGACAAAAATGAATTAAATTGTTCTTTAGAAAAAGAGAGAGAAAAGCTGTGAGATACTTGTTAGTGAGAAAGGATTCAGTGAGAAGCTAAAAAGAAGAGTAAATCCTTTCAATCAAGAAGAAAACAAAAGCTTGCCTGGTAATCCCATCTGACTGTCTTTCTACTCACAATTATCACCACACCCTGAGGAAACGTAAGAGAAATTTCAAAGTTCTTGAAGTATTTGTTTAATAATGTCAATTGATGAGAAACGTCATGGGGATAGAAATCAGAACATGAGTTTTAATTCATGTCAGGAAAGAAAAAAAGAAAAGCCATAGGGAGAACAAATAAATAGCTGGCTTTTGTTGTGCTTCCCTGGTGATTACACAGACATGACTTCAAACTAACTCCCAAAGGGGAGATAGAGAACTAAGAGAGAATTGGGGTACTCACTGGGCAGAAACTTGAAGTTATGCAACACCGGATGTGGTCCATGAGATAAAAAATGTCAGCTTCCTGGAAGATCATCTCACTTTTGAAAATATTGTAAAATACATCAAACATTCAGAATACTTAAAAGAATACCTGTACCTAATAGCTTTATCAAACATTAACGTTTAGTCATTTCAGATCTTTTAAAAGAAGGGATACTTTACAAATATATGTAAACTCCTATAACATTTTCCTCCTCCCATGCCCATAAGAAGTCCCTTTCTGGCATTAAATGTTTATCCTTTTTTTTTTTTAAGATGGAGTCTCACTCTGTTGCCCAGGCTGGAGTGCAGTGGCATGATCTTGGCTCACTGCAACCTCTGCCACTGGGGTTCAGGCGATTCTCCTGCCTCAACCTCCTGCGTAGCTGGGATTACAGGCACCTGCCACCGTGCCCAGCCAATTTTTGTAGTTTTTTAGTAGAGACGGGGTTTCACCATGCTGGTCAGGTTGGTCTCAAACTCCTGACTTCGTGATCCACCTGCCTTGGCCTCCCAAGTGCTGGGATTACAGGCATGAGCCACCGCGCCCGGCCAAATGTTTACCCCTTTTCATCGCACTTTATGTTGTGTTACCTACACATGTACCTCTATAATATTGGATGTCATGCTTTTAAACTTTATATGAAGCACTATTCTTTTTTATGTGAAACTTGCTTTTATCACATAAATTGATACATGTAAGTATAGTTCATTTATTTATTTTATTGGCTACATGACCACAGTATTTTCCTGTGGATTATCATTTGCTTTGTTATCAAATCTTTATTGTTTTGAAAAGCTACAATGAATATTTTTGTATATGTATCCTTCAGCATGTGTGCTGAACATTCTGTAGAACAGGGGTCCCCAATCCCTGGGCCACGGACCCCTACTGGTCCATGGCCTGTTAGGAATGGGTCTGCACAGCAGGAGGTGAGCAGCAGGCTAGTGAGCATTACTGCCTATCAGATCAGCAAAAGTATTAGATTCTCATAGGAGCGCCAACCCTATTGTGAACTGTGCACATGGAGGTGGATCCCTCATGAATGGCTTAGTGCCATACCCTTGGTGATCAGCAAGTTCCCCCTCTGAGTTCTGGTTGTTTAAAAGAGTGTGGCACTTCCCCCCATCTCTCTTTGGAGAGGGAGGCTCACTCTGTCACCCAGGTTGGAGTGCAGTGGCGTGATTTCAGCTCACTGCAACCTCTGCCTCCTGCTCAAGCGATTCTCCCGCCTCAGCCACCCAAGCAGGTGGGATTACAAGCGTGTGCCGTCACACCTGGCTAATTTTTGTATTTTTAGTAGAGACCGAGTTTCACAATGTTGGACAGGCTGGTCTGGGACTCCAGGCCTCAAGTGATCCACCCGCCTTGGCCTCCCAAAGTGTTGGGATTACAGGCATGAGCCACTGTGCTGGGCTATCCCCCCATCTCTCTTGCTCCCTCTCTCACCATATGATGCACTGGCTCCCACTTCACCTTCTTCCATGATTGAAAGCTTCCTGAGGCTGTTACCAGAAGCAGATGCTGGCACCACACTTCTTGTACAGCCTGCAGAAACATGAGCCAAATAAAATCTCTTTTATAAAAAAAAAAATTACCCAATCTCAGGTATTCCTTTATAGCAACACAAAAATGGACTAACGCACTCTCCAAAGCAGTTGTATTAATTTACTTTCCCATTCCCAGTATATGAAAGTTCCCATTTATCCACATTGTTTTCAATCTTTTAAATTAACTACTTAATTTGCTAATCTAAAGGGTATGATTTGTTCCTAAACACTTTACAGTTTTATTGCCATTGTTGACGATACATCATTGCAATTACAGTTGCAATTTGCTTATTACTGGTATATAGAAATAAAATGTTTTTATATTGATCTTGGATCTAGCAGCATTCAATGACTTTCTAATTAACTCGTGTAGATTCTCTTAGATTTCCTATGGAGTCAAATATGTTGACTGCAAATAAGATCTGCTTTGGAATGTCTTTGTAAGTTTTATACCTTCCATTCTTTCTGATCTTATTGCATTGTCTCGTAGGTTCAGTAGAATGTAGAATGGTTGTGACAATATAGTGTAATAAAACTTCATCATTAATGTTTGTAAGATTTTGATAGATACTTTTTGTGCAGTTAAGAGTATTGTCTTCTATCCCTTGGTGTTAAGTGTTTAGTTGTTTGTTTCTACATAAATTGAAAAACCTTACCCATGCTTCCATCTTAAAGTCCATATTCCTAACATTCTTCCCCCACATATCAGCATGGCTGGCTATCTTACTTCTTTCACCTCTTCTACTCAAACGTCATCTATAAAAGGAACACTTTATATAATAGCAACTTGCTACTCCCAACACTAATTCTGCTCATTTTTCCCCTTAAATGAATAAATATGAGAATGCATAAAGGTTTATCAAATGTGCTTTCTATTTTCTGTATCTATTACATTGATCATATGTTTTCCTCTTAATTGATTGTATGTTATTCTTGGGATCAATTAACCTTGGCCATGGGGTGAGTGGGAAATATATATATATATATATAATGTATGTATATATATAATGTACATATATATACACACACACATATTTTATTTAGGATGTTTAAATCTGTATTTATGAGAAATACTGGTCTTTTTTTAATGGCTTTGTTACAAAAGTATAATAACTTCATAAAATGAATTGAGTGCTTTTCCTCACTATTTTTCAAACGGTAGAGATTATCTGTTTGTTGAAGGTTTGTTAAATTATTCTATGAAAATCAACTGGGATTTCTGTCTTAAGGTCAGGAGTAGTGGGCAAACTGCTATGGGGTGAAGCACTTTCTCCTAATGGGACTTTGACTTTGTACTAAGAAAGGAATGGTCAGCCTAGGAACTTCTGCTGCTACCTCACTGTCCAGAACTGGTCACATGACTATCTTTGTTGCAAGAGAGGCTGGGAAGTTAAGTATTTTTAGCTAGGCACATTGTCTTCCTGAAAAGAAAAATCAACATTCTGCTATTAAGGATGAAGAAAAAGCAATGGCAACTGGGTAGGCAGCCACCAATACTTTCTACAATAAAACTATTAGATATGCTGGAATGTTGGAACCTTTCAGTCTATCATTCTTGTATCTTAACTGAAGTAAATAGATAAACAAATACACATCTATGTGTTCAGAATAAATACACACAAGCACACGCACACACATCTTTGTCTCTCTGGTGTATATTTTGGGTGAATTTCTCAATACTCTCTTCATCTTTCTAATTCAGTCTTCCATTTTATAGAGATTAGAGTTCGTTTCATCTTTATGAGTTAAATTCTATCCTCCCTACTAAAAAATATCTTGAAGTCCTAACCCCCAATACTTCAGAATATGGCATTATTTGGAGATAGAGGTAATCGAGTTAAAATGAGGTCATTAGAGTAGACATTAATATAATCCTTATAAAAAGGGGAAGTTTGCAGACAGACACACATGCACACACAGAGAGAAAGAGAGAAGAGAGAGAATGCCACAAGATGAGGGAAGAGATCAGTGTGAAATGTGCATGGTGGTGCACGCCTGTAGTCCCAGCTACTAAGGAGGCTGAGGCAGGAGAATCGCTTGAACCCAGGAGGCAGAGGTTGCAGTGAGCTAAGATTGTGCCACTGCACTCCAGCCTGGTGAGACAGAGCAAAACTATGTCTGAAAAAAAAAATCATTATATTAGTGTCCTAAAAACCTTTTATACCATATTTTTACTGTACCTTTTAACATGGTACACCTGTTTAGGGCACTTACTATGAATGGAGTTTGTAGGACTGGAAGTTGCTAAGTCAAAAAGTGAATGATGAATGAATATGAAGGCGGCGGACATTACTGTATACTACTGTAGACTGTAGGCTGTGGACTTTAGAAACACTGCACATTTAGGCTACACTAAATTTATAAAAACATTTTTATGTTTATTTCTTCAACAATAAGTTAATCTTAGCTTACTGATACTTTTTAACACATTGGACAGCTGGACAAAAATATTTTCTTTCTTTATATACTTATTCTATAAGCTTTTTTCTATTTAAATTGTTTTTAGTTTAGTTTTTACTTGCTCAAAACCTTTTTTGTTAAAAACTAAGACACAAACACATACATTAGCTTTGGCCTGCACAGGGTCAGGATCATCCATATCCCTGTCTTCCACCTCCACAGCTTGTCCCACTGGAAGGTCTTCAGGGGCAGTAACATGCATGGAGCTGTCATCTCCTGTGATAACAATGCCTTCTTCTGAAGGACTTGCCTGAGGCTGTTTTACAGTTATCGTTTTTTTTTTTTATCAGTAGAATTAGCACACTCTAAAATAACAAAAAGTATAGTATAGTCAATACATAAATCAGTGACATAGTCATTTATAATCATGATCAAGTATATATTGTTCATATTGCACATGCTATACTTTTATATGACTAGCAGTGCAGTGGGTTTGTTTACACTAGCATCACCACAAACACATGAGTAATGTGTTGCACTATAATGTTATGATAGCTATGACATAACTAGGCAATAGGAATTTTTCAGCTCCATTATAATCTTATGAGACCACAGCTATATACGCAGTCTGTCATTGACTGAAACATTGTTATGCAGTGCATGTATGTACTTTAAACTATGCTGTTGTAGCGCAAAAGCAGCCACAGACAATATGTAAAAGAATGAATGTAGCTGTGCTCTGGCCAGATGTGGGGGCTCATGTCTGTAATCTCAGCACTTTGGAAGGCCGAGGTGGGTGGATCACCTGCAGTTGGGAGTTCAAGATCAGCCTGGCCAACATGGTGAAACCCCGTCTCTATTAAAAATACAAAAATTACCCAGGTGTGGTGGCACACACCTGTAATCCCAGCTACTCAGGAGGCTGAGGCATGATAATCACTTGAACTGGGACGGCAGAGGTTGCAGTGAGCCGTGATCCTACCATTGCACTCCAGCCTGGGCAACAGAGAGAAACTCTGTCTCAAAAAGAGAAAAGAAAAGAAAAGAGAAAAGAAAAGAAAAGAAAAGAAAAGAAAAGAAAAGAAAAGAAAGAAAAGAAAAATGTATGTAACTGTGTTCCAATAAAACTTTATTTACCAAAACAGTCAGAGGGCTAGATTTGGGCTGGGATGCGTAGTTTGCCCACCTCTGCCTAGGAAGATAGTCAAGGCCATTTTTCTCAACCTCCTCTAACAAGTCAGGGAGTCCCACTCTAGTCCCTGGCTCTGGTTCCCTATCTGTCATAGAATACATTTGGTCTTCTTTAAGGGATATGAAGTGTCAGATGCTACTGTCTGCTCCCA